CTCATTTCTCGTTGCCCTATGCAATTGCCTGAGCTCCAAGGAGAGTTGTAGTGATCTCTCTCTTTGTCCAGATACATGGCTAAGAAATTGACATCATAAGAAAAACCCTGGTAACTTCTTTGTTGTAAATTATGGTGATGATAGGCACCATTCCTCATACTTCCACTTCTTTGATTTTCTACAGGTTCGAGAGTTCTGACTCTTTTCTCTTTCCTAGCTGGATCTGAGAAACTAGAATCATCTCTATCATATAGTATATTATTTGTGGCATCCTCATAATTGCCTTTTTCATGTGCAAGTAATCCAGCACGGCAAACTCCCTTATGACGATACCCAGGTGTCATATCCAAACACACAAACTCAAAGTTTTTGGGATTGACAAAGTTCTGAGTAACAGCAATACTTGGTTCCAGATTTAGGACGCAGTGCCACCATCCACTTGGAACGAAAATTGTTTCCCCTGGCAGTTGGGTACACTCTATTGGCTTGTCTTCATCAGCAAGAAGTGGATAAAAATCTAGCCACCACTGAAACACAAAAAAAGGAACCAATAATAACAACTTAACGCTCACAATAGAATACATGAAAAACCAGAGGATTGGAATTATCTGAAAAAAAAAATACCTGCAGTGAAGATGGAGTTTCAATATTTACATCACCATCTTCTTCGTTTACATGTACTGTGACACCTAGAGGTACTTTTCCTGGAGGATACAGGGCCCACCTTCACAAACATAACAGATGGGTTACCTCCTAGACCTCTATTATTTAATTGCAAACAGTCCCAAAAAAGATGAGAACAACATTATTCAGCCAATTCAACAAAAGGGAAATGATGTATGGTGGAATAATCATTAGGGCAGAAAGTATGTGGTTTATGGAATGCATTAGATGAATATTTTGATGATATTCCTAAGTCTTTCTTGGTCAGCAGTATCCTCATGCTTTAGGAAGACAAAAAGAATAAAGAAAATATCAGTAAACCAAATCCAACCTGGACTACAAAGGAGCACAAATGAGACTATAATTGGTACAAAATTAAGAAACAGCAGCAGAACAAAAATAGTAATTTCATAAAATGTAACAGTTTTATCAACCCCAAGTCCTCAACTAGCACATGCATAAGCTGTACCTCTTAACTAAATCATAGAATGGATTCCATTAACAGTATCATATTCTTAACTACATGAGCTTTTGAGTAGAAAAAAAAAAAGAACTTTACCTCTTACGTCCGACTAGTAGCGTATTCCAGGCACTGGTCAGAGCTGGATCAACATGCCAAGAGGCACCAGACCTCTGTGGCCCAATAATGAGCCATCTAAATGGAGGTCGCTTTTCTCTATCTAAAACATCAAAAAAGTCCTCTTGAAATAGATCAGGTATACTGTAATCTTTCAACAGGGCCGGAACAACCTCTCCAAACTGCTTTTAAAATAATAATAAAAGTTACATTGCACATCATAAGAATAAAAAGAAAAATCATACAAATATGTACTCACACAGACACACAGACCCATTGAGCACCTTGTGATCGAAAATATACAGGGGATCCTCATCATGCTGAATTTTCAAGTATGCAACATAATCTTTGAATTTCATTGAGACTTTGCGTGCACTCCTTTGCGAAATCTTGAAAGCTATATCTCCATAATTCTGCAATAACTGGTCAAATGTCCATGTATGCCTTGCAGGCCAAGCATCAGCCAATCCAGTGAGTAAAACCTGGTTAATTTTTTAGCAGCAAACTATGTGAATAACATAAACCACCAGTCCGTATGTACAAGCATAATTGCATACTGATCTTGATTGCCGATTTGCAACTAAAAATTCTCTGTAGTACAAGAACTTCTACTAAGTCAAATTTTGGCATATGGAAAGGTCAAATTTGGTAAAACCCCAGGTTTTCATCTCCTGTTTCCCTTTTTTTTCTCCCAGAATAAAATAAATACCATAGAGAACACTAGTGAAATGGTGACTACAATCAAAATGTGAAACTTTTTGGTTCTATCTGTAGTTTAAAATTGGAGATGAAAGCTTGGTAGTAAACTATAGGTCATTGGGGGAGTGCAGAAATTTGAAGCTGTGAAATCAGAAGCATGGCCGAAGTAGGCATAAAGGTACTGGTGATTTAAGGATTAAAGGGGGTTTATTGGCTCCTTTTCCAACAGACGTGGTAGGCTGTGGTAGTGAATAGCAACAGCTGGGGTTGTGTTTAGTAAAGTGTTACTGGTAATGATGCCAAAGGGACGGTAACAGAAAGGTGCTAATGTTGGTGCTGCGTTACTGGTGATGATGCTGAGGGGTTGGTAATGGAGGGTGTGTTGTGGCTGAATTAGCAGCAGGGCAGTATGTTGTGGAAAAGTGTTAATTGAGTGGTGGCAGTGGTGAAGATATGAAAAAAACATTCCTGAAATTGGAAAAGAAACTATCTTTGATTTGTTCTGTGATATGTCATCAGTCTCTAAAAACTTAAATACATTTGTGGGTCAAGATCCAACTCCTATATGTCCAAGCGGGCCCAATGAAAGAACATCCTTCTCTCTAATGTAAAACCATAATTTAACAGAAGATTGTGTCTGCATATAATCAATGGGAGGAAGATGGAAATCTTAATCCCACTGTGTTAATTCAAAAATGAATCATCATCACCATACCGGTTTCTTCCCATCATAGTCACGAGAAAACTCTTCCAAAGTGGGGTTTTTCTTTCTTTCCACATTCCCATCGTCAAAAGAAAAACTATCCAATGTGGTATGGCACCTGTAAAATCTTCTGTACAAGAACAACGAGTTGAATCCTGCAGCAAGTGGATAGGCAATAACTAAAACCTTCAGTGGGGAAATAAATAAATAAATGAATATACTCTAAGAAGATTTTACACCATCATAAAATAACAAGAGCCTCCAGAAGTTGAGCTCTATTCAAAATACATGATATCAATTACCATCAAAATTAAGTGGTTTTCTGCAAGCCTCATCACATTCATATGGTACATGCTCTCTGCATTAAAAAATACAAAACCGTGGTCTCAAATTCTGAAAACTTAATGTAGAAAGAAAGAAAAAAAAAAAAAAAAAAAAAAAAAAAAAAAAAAAAAATATAGCATACTTTATACTCATACAAATGCAGTGCCGTTTTTTTCCAGGAACCTTTATACTGAAGTGGACCATCTAGTCTGCTAAGGCATATACTCATCCAAAGCGGCTCTTCATTGCATAGTATGTACATCACACTGCATACCAAAGAGCAGCAAATACATAAGTAACAGGAAAAATGAAATCTTTGGCCGTGTATGGAAAAAATGAAATTTAATCCAAAACTAAAATCTAAATTTAAGAGCATCTCCATAAGATTCTGCAATTGAATCAATGACCAAAATGCTAACTTTGAATCAGACCACCAACATTTCACGTAGAAACACGTATCGAAATCCCAAAATTCAAAATTCAAACGGGAAAAGGGAGAGCTAAAGAGAAAAAAAACAAAGGCGGTGGATTGAAGAACCTGCTAACGGAAGCGAGACGAGCAACGTCGCGAGGGGTCAGGTATTCCAAGATGTCACAGATGAGGTCGTCAGGGAGGACTCGGAAGTTTCCGAGAGCATCTGGCCTGCGATCTCTGAGACCCAACGCATGGGCTTCAGAATTCTCCATTGCAATCAAACTTGATAGAAAGCTGTATGTTGTGAAATTGTTGTGAGTATGCAACTGCAAGAAAAGAAGAGAAGAGAGAGAGGGAGAGGCGGGGGCTTTGGGTTTTTGCAATCGGATTTGCCGCGTCGACGTAACGTGTTTTTTGTGCAGCGGTTATACCGTGTACGCGGAATTTCAACGCTATTTCGAATTTTCCTTTTGTTTGGGTTTTTTGGGTGGAGAGGTGGACCAAATATTCGCGCTATACGGTGTGTTAAAGAAAAGCGCGAATATAGCAGCTATTATTCTCTTCCTTCTTCTTTAAATTTTTGTGCTCATTTCCCTCTTGAAAAAATTCGGAAAATTATTTTTCTCTATGCTCATTAATTATCTTCGTACCTTTACACCTTCAGCAAATAAATTAAAGGGATGATTAAAAAGTCCCCTTTCAGATCTTGAATTGTTTAATTCAATTTAATCAATTGAAAATATTATATTTCGAGAGTTCGAATATGATATCATTAAACTGCAAGTTGAGATCATTTTTTCATTGAATTATACCATGTTGGCATTATCTTCCAGTCTGGAGAAATGAAAATGTGATATTTTTGCTTATCTTGCCACATTAACATTTTCATCTCCGATCCGAGCTATCTAACAACATCAAATTTGTCACATTTTTGTAAAGCTAGTATGGCGTGTGACGCGTTGCCTTCTTATGTGACAAAGGTATAACTTGTCTCATCGTCTTTCGTGAGACAACTAAAGGAATACCAGGCCAGTTTCACTATAAATTCTTCCATGGACCTGCCCCACTCAAGACTCTGTCCAGTTTTCATTTGCTGAGCAGTTCCTCTCATCAAAAACATGTCCTCTCATTGATACGAAGAACAAAACCCATCAATTCTGACCCAAAGACACTCGCATTCAATTCGAGGACTCAAACAAATTTGGGCTGACAGATTGATTTGAAGCCTTCACCCACCAAATCCAAGGTTCATAAACTTCGTGGACTTCTTCTTTCTTCAACCTTCATTTTTTTGGTCGAAGTAATTTATTCAACTTGGTCCACCTATTATGTCCTTATGTAGCAGGCTCCAACATGAATTTAATACAAGAATATTATTCACATCACATTGTAAGAACATTAAATATTAAAGCACCAAAATTGCACGCATTATCCAGTCAACGTTCCAATTTATTTCTGTTTCCGTTCAAAGTCTCAAAGCATCACTTCCAGTATACACATACAACACACATCATAAATTCAACTCTAAAGACGGTGATATATTACACAGCCACTAATAACTTTAAAAGAAAAAAGAAAAAAAAAGAATAACCACCACAGTGTTAAAGCCTTGAACCATTCTACAGACCTAACGAGGTGACGGAGCTCTGTGACTTGATCCTTCTTCTTCTAAGGCGTTCGGCGATGATGAAGGCAAGCTCGAGAGATTGTGAGGCATTGAGCCTTGGGTCACAGTGAGTATGGTAGCGTGAGCTAAGGTCATCAAATGTCACAGTGCGCGACCCTCCAATGCATTCTGTCACATTCTGGCCTGTCATCTCTAGATGAACACCTCCTGGGTGGCTTCCTTCTTGCTCATGCACATCAAAGAATGCTCTCACCTCGGCCTGGACAGATAAAAAATATTAAAGTTTTGGTACTGGTGAGACATCCCTTTTAATTAAATATTTCTAATTCGCACGACTAAACAGATAAACTCATACAAGGTCCTACCAACCACAGAAAACAACTCATGTAAAGCAATATCCAACCTACCAAAGTAATAATTATAAATTAAGAAGGCATCAAGGAAAGCATTGTGCAAAAGAGGACTTTTTTGGTTTCTTGCTAAGAAAATGAGTAGCTTGTGACGCAAGATCGATTCCAAGTCAATTTCAAAACAATCATTTACCTATCACCTTTTAAAACATTCCACCAATATTTTCTCCCTTTTTCTCCACCCACCCCCACCCAAAAGAAAAAAAAAAAAAAAAAAAAATCTTATACTCTTATACCTACAAGTCTTTTCCCACCTAATATACCTGAATCTTGCACCTTCTTACGAGTGAATTGCTAGAAGATGAGAAGATGTCTTTCTTTAAAGCTACAGAATGCGCACCAAACGGGACACTTGATGGCAGCCCCCACCCCAAACAAACTTCTAAATTGTTCAACAATATGGACTGTGAACACCAGAAATTTGGCCTTGTCTTAATTGCAAAAGTTGGTGGATGACTAGGATCCATTAAGTGAAGAAGCCAATAGCAAATGGTGACAAAATATTGTCGTTCACTGGGTTCTCATGATTCATGAAAACTAATTTAAAATATGGAAAGCACCATGACTACAAGCATTTGATTGGACAAAGCTAACAAGCACATACTGAAGCAACGTGCAAGAAAAATCAAAGTTATTGTGTTCACATGGCTGCTAAGCTTTCAACAAAATAATTTATTATTTCCTCTATTAGTTGCACTGAACCAACTTAGCCTTTATATTTATTATCACATCAACTAAGACAGCTTAATTTCTTTTTTCTACTTGTTCCCATTTTCCTATTTCTCGTTATACTTCATTTTCATCCTAAAATGGTTATAATTCTTGTTTTGTGTTATATTCCTCTATGTGTTTCAAATGGCCAACGTTCTGCAGTATAAAGAAACAAGTGACCAGCATATGATTCGAATTCCAAAGAATAACCTTTGCCCACAAACCTACAACATGAGAACAGTAAAGCTAACAGTTGAACAAAGCAAAAAGAAAAAAGATAAGAATCATACCCTTATAGCGTCAAAAGGGCGTGTTTTGAGGCCACATGGAGCTTTTATGGTGTTTCCATGCATTGGGTCACTAACCCATGTGACAATCTGTCCTGCCCTGCGGACTGCCCTAATAAGATGAGGAAGTTTCACTCTCATGTTCTCAGCTCCCATTCTTGTGATCACCGTTATCCTACCGGCTTTATTCTGAGGATTCAAAATCTCAATGAGCTTAACAAGCTCATTTGGATCCATCTTATCGCTCACCTGCATCACAAAGAGTGATCCTATATTAGTCTCCTCCAAGATAATTAAATTCCATAAGAATGTCATGCACATTAAAGTACAAACTGCATCAAAATCACGTAGTAGTCACAAGTGAAGTTCGACAAAACATGATTCATTTCAATTTAGTTTATTATCACAAACTTGAACCTAATATACAAGCCATTGCTCCATTTAAACATAGCAATATCATTTTTCTGTAATCTTAGCAACATATGGAAAGATAATTTGATTGAACAGGACGTGTGCACCATATGAGATATGAATTACCTTAATTCCAAGGGGATTGGCAACGCCTCTTAGGAACTCAACATGGGCACCATCCAGTTGCCTAGTACGCTCACCAGCCCAAAGCATATGGGCAGAGCAATCATAGTAAAGGCCGGAAGTTGAATCCAACCTAGTAAGAGACTGCTCATATGGCAAGAGCAAGCACTCATGAGATGTCCAGAACTCAGTGGTTGTCATGATAGGGTGGTCAACTGTAAGCCCAGCTGCAGTCATGAATCCAAGGGCCTCATCAACCCGGGAAGCTAGCTCCCGGTATCTACCATACCAAAACAGGATAAACATGTTATTAGGTAAAATTATTACCAACCCTAATTAAATTAAAATTCAAAGTTTGATAAACTTAAAGTCATGTCAATATGACATTCCAATTGTGCTATTATTAGACAAAAATTTGGTATGAGAATTAACCAAATTGAACACAACATGCTAGTTCCTGGTGCCATGCCAAGATCATGATAACCATGTATGAATACCAAACCTAACCAAATTGAAATTAGAAGTTTGGCACACTTCAAATCATGTGAATATGATTCCAACAATATTTTGAAAAACAGCTTGCAATGAGTCATTACCGCCTCAAAAGGAATGTGATTTTGGATTATTTGGAGGAACAAACCAAAACACCATCAATTAAGGTTAAGTATCCATCACTATCCACACACGCACTAAAAGATTACTCAGTGTGGCCCGAAAATTCATTGGCGAAAAGCAGACGAAGATTCTGCATGTGCATAAATCTTTGCGGGGCAAAGCACAAAAGACATAAAAAGGTTAAAAGGTTAAAAGGTCTTTACACATCTAAAGGACGAATATACTGAGTATATGAAATGAAACAAACAGACAGGCAAGGCAATGATAATGATTTGAGGGTATATACGAGATAAACTCATCAAACTCTGACCAAATAAAATTACTTTCTCGTAAATAAGTCTTTCGCTTGTGAAATCCAAGTTCCACTGTCACCGATCTAAAATAGTAAAACTGAGGAAACATACCTATCCCCCTGCTCGCTGTGCTCTGTGAAATCCAAGTTCCACTGTGTGACCCTCTGCATAGCTGCATAACCACCAGTAGCGAAGGCCCTGAGAAGGTTAAGAGTAGCCGCAGATTGACAGTAGGCTCTGATCAGTCTCTGAGGGTCCGGAGTCCTCGACTTTAAATCGAACGCGTCTCCGTTCACATTGTCCCCTCTGTAACTTGGCAGTTTCACACCATCCTTCTCCTCAAAAGGATCCGATCTTGGCTTCGCAAACTGACCCGCCATTCTTCCCACCTAAAAAACCAACCACGACCACAATCCACTTTAATTCTCAAAACTATACACAAATTAATCAAATTCCAATAAAAACAACGAACCCAGAAAAAAAATAAAAAAAACAATCATGACCCTGATTCATAATTCCCTTCAATTCCCAAACTTCCACAGAAATTACTCAACTTTCAAGCAAATACAAATTACCCAGAAACTTTCATATAATTTAGAGGAAATTCCTGACCTTGACAACGGGCATTTGACCTCCGAACATCAAAACGACACCCATTTGGAGGAGAATTCTGAAGGTGTCACGAATGTTATTGGCATTGAACTCCTTGAAGCTCTCAGCGCAGTCCCCACCTTGAAGAAGAAACGCGTTGCCCATGGCGGCCTCACCAATACGCTCCTCTAGGCTCCGAGCCTCCCCAGCGAACACAATAGGCGGGAACGATTCGATGGTCCGAAGCACCGACTCGAGATCTTCCTGATTTGGGTAGTCGGGCAATTGGAGCGCCTTCTTGGATTTCCAGGTCTCCACGCTCCATTTCGCCGGAACCGCATTGTGGGTCTTCGCCGAAGAAGAAGGAGACGACGTCGTTGGAGCACTTTGCTGCTTAGTTGGCTTATCGGAGACAACTGGGTTCTTGGCAGGCTCAGCTGCATGAACGGCCACGATTGGCCTGACGGGCCTGATGGGCAGAGAGGGTTGGTGAGTTCTCGGAGAGGGTAAGAGAGACTGGCCTTGAATGAAGGCAGATTTGGTGGGAATCAAAGAGCTGCTGCTTGTGAGAGCCATTGTTATTGGATTTTGTAAAGATTTTTCTCTTTCTTTCTTTTTTATGTTAAAGGTACAAATGAGATCGCAGAGAGTACCTGAGGAAGATGAGTTACAGATTGAGAGGGTTTTATAAGGAAACAAGGTGTCCTCGCAGAGACGCGGTGGTGGGCAGTTGAGGCCAGAGTGTGGGTAGTTTTGGGGTTCTCTTGGTATCGAAGGACAGTTTTGTAATTTTGATTGTCAACAATTTTGGAAAGAAAGTCAATTGCTTGGAATGAGTTGGTATCTTTGCAAAGGGTAGGTGGTGGTGAAACGAGGGTTGGTAATGATATGATTAAGAGGCTGCGTAGGCCGTGGGAGCCGAGCTGAATTTTATTTTGTTATATTTTTTCGTCGGTCCATCTGAATTATTATACGCTTTACAAGACAAAAATATGAGTTATAATATGGTGTTTTATCATTTAAAATGTGGAAAATGCTGCAGCACCACTCACATGGGTGGTTCCGTGATTAAAATGTGAGCATGGAACAAGATGATTTATACCTTTTTTTTTAATCGAATAAAGTGTAGGGAGATATTAGCTTTATATATCAGATTGTTGGTAACGAGACTCGAACACTGATGAGGCTACACACAATGCAGTGACTTTATCAATTGAACTAACTCACATTGGCATGCGATTTATACATAAACAAAGAAAACACCTAGATATACTCAAAAAATTGTACGTGATGTTTATATGAGTTTATCTTCAAGAATACTACGATAAATAGTGGGAGATCCGTCAAATTATATTTAGAGAATGCAATTAACTAGATATCAATAATTTTAGCATTTATTAAAAAATGTTTTAAAGATGTTTCATTTTCTTTATTTTTAAATAAAATATAAATGATAAATTAATAGAAACTTTTTTGTTGCGATGAGTAATCGACTCCACTAACTCCAAATCATGATATCACATTATGTTAGAACTAAAATAATAATTTGTGTTGTAGTAGAGTCGATTTTTGAATATTTAATACATTCGCTTTCGGTGTAACTTATAAATAAAAAAATTATAAATCAGAGTTCTTGTAGATCAGGTTTTCTATTTATAACAAAGCACGTTTATATTTCGGACCCAAAAAAAAACCACCACATTTTTATATCATGTAGAAGAAAAATAATATATATATATATAAAGAGCAAATGATAAGCCGAGCGGAGCGGAGCTAGTCAACGTATGGCGGCTTGGCAGAATTTAGTTCTATATACCACCTGGTTTATTTGGTGTTACAAGAAAAATAAAATTCTACAAAATGGAAATAAAATAAAGTTGTTCAATGGACTGAAAAAAATGAAGGGGTATGTATGCATGTCCCTACTCACCCACCTACCCTCCTCCACTTCATGCACCACCAACTCTCTCTCTGTCTCTCTCTCCCCTACCCCAATTACACCACCTCTCTCTACGCTCGACACGTGTCCTTCAACTTGGTACCATGACTTGGCCTATTCCCACGGCTTCCCTTGCAAAGCGTGCATCAAATTCTGGTTGTTATAGCCTGCCTATAGAGAGGCCCAGTCGATGTAAGTGATCACATGTGGCCGACCCCACCCAGCTTGCGTCTCTAATAGGCCTGCATTTGGAAATCTTCAAAATAAGCCCAAATTGACTTCTGAATTTGTTACGACTTAAATGTACTCGTGTCAAATATCACCTTACCTCATGTTTTTCACAACGTCATACTTTCCTCATGTACTTTTATTATGAATTTTACGTTGTCCTATTATTCTTTACATCGTCTCATTTTACCCCTTTGGTTTGTGTCGTCAATTTTTCTGAACTAGTATCTCTACAAATTACAATTTCATATACACGAATAGACAAATCATTGAAAATATAAATAATAAAGAAAAGTTCATATGAACATATCAAATTGTTATTTGCATGTACCATGCAGTAAGATTGTCTTAATTTTGATGTTAAACCGATCCGTTATTGTAATTTCTTTTTGGTAGTTAGTGTCTTTTTTAACTATATTATGAATGCAATCTTAGACTTTCTCGACCAAACATAAAAGAATGGATGTATTTTCATGTCAAAAGATTGTTTCCCCTTCCATTCCCTCCTGCCGGACACCGGAATTGGAAAGTGATGATACGTTATATTTTGGGACCAAAAAAACAATGATTTGTTACTCCAATCAAGCCAAAGCACCACAGCAGGCATGTGCAATCGTGACAAACTGTCAAAATTGGTATCATATAAGTCGAGGAACATTCTGAACATTTTGGACCCCGTCTGTGATCTATCAGTGTTTTTTTATTTAAAATAACGAAGTTGGCTGAAAGCCTAAATAATTGTTGGATTGGACCCCATCAATTCAATTTGGCTGAAAGCCTAAATAATAGATCAACTTTAAATTCATTTTTACCAGTATCTAGTTTTTTTTCTTCCAAGCTCACATGTTTCATCTTAAATTGACACCTCATATAGAGCATATCTACCTTGCAGTTAAAATGTTATTATCGTAAAATGTGTGTGAATTTAATAATATTATCGCCCTCTCTTAATATAAAATGTCTTTTTTTTTAAATGTTATTATCTATATACGTTTTAAAAGTTATTATTTACATATGTATATATATATTAAATTATTAAGGTCCTTAGAGGATAAGGCGAACATCTTTACACATAAGGATTCAATCGTCGGTCTAACCAAGTAGCCTACTCTCATTCGGCATAGCCATCAGAGAGAACCTTGCCCATGATAGAGCACTTCCCACCACCCTGAAGTCTTAATCGTGAAAACTTTCCCCCCTAAAAATAGGTGGATTGCAACACATGAGCCTCACCTATTTTAGTGTGTTATGAAGGCACACCTGTGGTAGGAATCTCAAGGGCTATTTTGATCAATTGATGCACCATTTCATCACAACACATTCACGTAATGAGTTGATTATCAAAAGAACACATACATTCGGTTTAGTGAAGACTTTCTCTATAATCAGGTTAAAATGTTATGTGTCTTGTATATGTTGTTCACGTGATAAAGTGATCATGAAATGAATCGTACATCACGAGTAAGAATGTAGCATTTAACTTGTGGAAGTGAAGGCTAGTAGGCAAGGCACTATATATGTACAGAAGAAAACTGGCTATAGAGTTATGACAGACAATGATCAGTAAAGGGTTAAGAGACAAGAACATATACATAATAATAGTACATTCCTATCTGTCAAAGACGTGACCAATTCGATATTGTTAGTTTGGAGAAATATTGGGACCACAAGTTTTGGTGTTCTAGGCAAAGCAATGTGTACAAGACAAGAGTTGGGGGAACCATTAATTAGCATTGACCATTTTATTAAATTAGAGAGGAGTTTACTCTGGTTTCACGCAAAGCCTAGCTGTTACTACATGAAACAGAAAAGATCAAATATTAATTACACATTATTTATTTTATACTATTGTTTTGCATCCGAAAGCGATAAGAGATTTATTGAATAATCAGGAATAAAGATAAGTACAAAAAAAATCGGACTATGTCCTGGAGGGCGTTGTACGCGCAAAATGCATGTGTGAACACAATGTATAGAAATGATTATATCTTAAGGACAAATCATGTGGTTGAGCTTTTTTATTCTTAATTGCTCTCTTATGCAACAAATGCATGAGATGTTAAGGGAGTGCAAATCATACTTGTTTTCTCCTCCCAATTCAAGGATCAGATATATTTCATGGATGGAGAATAATAAATAAATAATAAATGTATACACGTGTTATCGCATAAATGAATTAGTCACACTGAATAATTGTACTGCATGATGTTTATATCCAATAAGAGTATATCAACACTAACAACACCACCATCCACCAAATATTCATCTAGAATTGATGGTAGAGACGTACATTCATCCACTGTTTATCCAAGGACTAGATCACTTGTTTGGTTTAGGGTGCTAGAGTTCAAAGGCTACTCAAGTTGCTGCTACTCTCATGGCTACTGAGACTTTCGCTTCTTCAATGGCTTTACAAATTGCTTGTTTCACGCCTCTAGGTTGAGCGGAAATGCTATAATGAGGGGTTGAGGGCACATATTTGTTGGATATGGATTGGCATTTCTTCTTGAGGTGATAAAAAAATCCTACATAATAATATTGCTGATTAAAATGTAGCCCACCCAATCCACCAATCTTGGGTTCGGTTCAGATTGGGCTATCGGGTTAATATTGGATGCCAACTTTTCATACTTAGACCCAACCCAAGTAGAGCAAAATGCGTACTCTCATTGGGACTAGCCCAAGAATTCATCATAGTTTTTATTTTAGTTTCTAAACAAATTCACCTTTTTATTCTGGAAAAAAACAACAAATTTTCAATTTTACACTCATTTCTTCTTCTTTTTCCCCAAATTAATCGGTTTGTAACTCGAAGTCGTTAAGAGAATTTACCTAAAATCCTGAGACCAACTTTTGACTAGATAGGTTGGAAGTTGGAACTCACAACAAATTTTGTTATTTCGTACTTTTATCTTTTTCATGTATGTAAATTTAGCCCACATCATTACCAACTCTAGCCCATCTTCTCTAGCTCCAATCCGTACGAAAAACCTAGTTTGTCCAACAATGTTTTATATTAAAGGACAAAAAAGAAACGAAATCAAAGCATTGTTGTCACGTGACATGCATCTCTTAACTCTAAAGAAGTTCACATCTTAGCTTAGCTTACCTTTCTTAAAAATTTGGGAGTTTCACTAAAACACCCAAAATGGGGGCTGAAATTATAAAAAAACCCAACACCAAAAACACTTTATAAACACACCAAAAACTCATCATTATACACACTCAAAACCTATTTATAAACACACCTAAAAAATATACAATTGTTGATTTTGGGTGTGTTTCTATATTGAAATAGTGCTTGAGTTTTTTTATAAATACATGTCTAGGATTAAGTTTATTTATAAATTTGTATAAAAGTTTCTCCGGTAAACCCTAGATATTGCTCGTTTGGTCCTTTTTTTTTCGT